TCTTCCTGTTGTGTGACAGCTGAATTATAATGTTACTATGTTGCTTTTTAGGTTGTTGGACGAATTCTTGCATTTGTGCCTACCCATCTCTTCCTTCAAAAGAGGCCAGCAGCATCTTTGCTTCTTGGTCCAATCCTTGCTCTGGCTGTCTGAGTGTTTGGGAGTTTTTGTTGGTCTGTTCTGTACTGTCAATGCCTGTCTCAAAAGACCTCTGTGGCCTCCATATGCCTGCTCTATTGGTCTTCTCTCCTGGTTTGCTCTCTTGGTGCTCTCTCTTAATACCCTCAATGTTTTAGCAAGCTCATGCCCCCATCAGTATTATAGCAAGTTCTCAGCTCTTATACGGTGTGTGGCTAGTAGCATGGGGGATCCAGGGGATGGGTTTGGATTTTGGGAGAGTCTAACAACAGGAAACTCCCCAATGGCTGGCTAGAAAAGCTGAGGGATTTGGGGAAGGTGCCTGGGGTTTTTGTCCAATTGTAGGAGATCCTATAGAGTGGGGTATCTGTTGTATGACTGTTTCCTCGCCTCTTAAAACCCCTCAGTATTGGAGCAAGCTGTTTTTCAGAGTTCTACCGAGGTTGTAGAAGGATAGCATTGCTTAGATTTTTTGTCTTGTTTTGTTTCTGCACTGAGGCCTGCACATCTTGAAGTTGGTCAGTTGGCTGAATTTATCATTTATTCATTATTGCTATCTTTTTAAACAACCTCTCTTTTTAATTGGAGGCATATACAGTGTCCAAGAGAGAACTTAGTTGTTTCTGACCTTAGAATGTATAAACTTCTAAAGATACCATATTTTAAAAAAAAACTAGGTACTTGCAAAAACAAAATAAAGAAAATAATTGTTTGTAATGACGGCACACAGGGAGCAATGTCTCAGCAGGTAAAGGTGCCTACCACCAAACTTTAATGACCTGGGCTCTGAATTTGATTACTGGAACACATGTGGTCAAGTTCAGGATGGTCATAATTAGGGTTTCTGTTGTTGTAATGAAACACCATAACCAAACCAAGTTGGAGAAGAAGGGAATTTTAGCTTATACATCTACATCAAAGTTTGTCTTTGAGGGAATTCAGGACAGGAACTTTAACAAGGCAGGGACTTAGAGGCAGGAGTTGATGATACAGAGGCATTGGAGTGGCCCTGCTTACTAGCTTGCTGCCATGGCTTTATCAGTTTGCTTCTTATAGAACCCAGGACCACCAGTCTGGGATGGCACCACCTACAATAGGTTAGGCCCTTACCCATCAATCCCTAAATAAATAAATGCTCTGCAGACTTGCCTACAGTTTGACCTTATGAAGACATTTTTTTTCTGTTAGATTTTATTCTTTCAGATAACTAAGGCTTGGATCAAGTGGACATAAAACTTTCCAGCACAATTGACACCTTGTCAACTCGACACAAAAAACACATCATAGAGGTTAGGTAACAAGGAGGGTTCAAAGTGGGCCAATGGCATCTCCCTGGGAAGGAGAAATGGAAGAAATACAGGTGGAAATAAGAAAGGTGGAGAAGGGAACATGAAGGATCAGGTTGAGGGATAGATACAGTATTGAAAGAGATGACTGGAAAGGGCGAAAAATTTGGGTTCAGGTAGAAACCTGGCCCAAGGGATTGAACTTTTAATGTGCTTGAATTTGTAAACACTGAGGGACTTTTGAAGCTATTTATGGTTTTAGCATGACATCTTGGGGATGAGTGAGAAAAAAAAAAAGAGTGTGACTTAATGGTGGCATTACCAATAAAGCTGCTGTAAACATGGTTAAGCAAGTGTCCTTGTGGTATATTGAGCATCCTTTAGATATATACCCAAGAGTGATAAAGCTGATTCTTGAACAACATTTATTTATTTATTTTTCTGAGAAACTACCATATTGATTTCCAAGTGGCTATATAAGTTTGGACTCCCACTAGCAATGAAGGAGTGTTCACCATGTTCCACATCCTCTCCAACAAACACTGTCACTTGTGATTTTGATTTGGTCATTCTGACAGTTATAAGATGGAATCTCAGAGTCATTTTGATTTGCAATTTATTTCATTGATCTCTAAAGATACTGAATACATTTTTAAGTGTTTTTATTTGAGATTTGAGATTTGGACCATTTGAGGTTCTTCTGTTGAGAGCTATCTGTTTAACTGTACCCTGTCTTTCAATTGGATTAGTTGGGTTTTGATGTTTAGTTTCTTTAGTTCTTTATATATTTTGGAAATCAGTTCTTTGTTTGATGTGAGGTTGGTAAAGATATTTTCCCATTTTATAAGCTGTCATTTTGTCCTATTGACAGTGTCCTTTGCCTTTGAAAATCTTTTCAGTTCCATGAAGTCACATTTATTAATTATTGATCTTAGTGTCTGTGCTACTGGTATTCTATTCAGAAAGTTGTTTCCTGATACAATGTGTTCAAGGCTATGTCTCACTTTCTCTTCAATCAGATTAAGTGTAATTGGATTCATGTTGAGGTCTTTCATCCACTTGGAGTTGAATTTTGAGCTTTATCTACTTGTGGAACTCCTAACAGTAGGAGTAGTGGCTGTCCCTAACGTTTTGGCTTACTTTTGGGAACCTATTCTTTATACTGGGTTGCCGAGCCTAGCCTTAATAAAAGCGTAGGTACTTATTACTACAGCAACTTGAGACACCATGTTTTGTTGCTATCTATGGGAGGCCTACCCCTTTCTGAACTGAAAATGGAAAAGTAAATGGAGGGGGAAAGAAATGGGAGGAGAGGATGAATACTTCCTTTGGGGTGGAAAAAAATGAATAGATTTAATTAATTAAAAAAGTTTTCTCCTTTTAACATATCCAGTCTCGTTGAAAAATCCAAAATCTCTTTGAATAGTTTAAAATCTCTCAATTTTGCTCTAAATCATGTTAAAAACTAACTAACTAAAATCATGTTAAAAACTTTAAAGAGGGAAAAAACTACACAGTCACAGAATGATCAAAGCAAAATCAAACTCCAACATTATGAATAATAGCTACAGGTCCAAAGTGTGGGATTCACTCTTGATCTTCTTAAAACCTCTGAAAGGTCTTTCTCTCTTCGCTGACACACAGCTTGTCTTCAATGTTTCAGGTGACTCCAGTGGCCTTTGATACTGTTCTTGGTGATAATCCCATGGTACCAGCATCTTCAAAGTATTGGGATCTCTGCTGCAACTAGGCTACACTTTCACCAATACCCTCTTCCTGACCCTCTCACGTTACCAAGCCTCAATTTATCTGCCTTAATCCTGGGCCTTCAGCTACTATCCTGGCTATACCTTTACCAGTGGGTTTTCTTGAACTCCCACAGTGCCAAACCTCAGCTGCTCCCCATGACTTCTTCATGTCCTGCTGTCAAAACAAGTACTACCTGGGTAACTCGTACACTACAAAGTATGGCTACTGCCAAGAGGCACAACTTTGGCCACCTCTGGAAGACAGCTTTTGTGTGCTGACTCTGAAAAAAACGTACTCTGGAAAATTTCATTTCACTGATTCTAGTGTCTTCTTAATCACTGTTAATTTCTAAGTCAAAAAGCATCAGTTTTTCCAGTAATGCAAAGGTTTCATTTCAATATTGCTGGTCTCTTGACTTTCCAGTCCCAAATGATCAGAACCACAGAAGCTTAATTCAAAATAACAAATAACCCTGACAGTCTTTAAGCATCTCTCTGAAACTTTACAATCCATACCTTTATCATTGCTCTGCTCTCAACATTCTTATTACCCAATATCACAGAAAATAGCTCAGTAAGCTCTCAACACTCAATGACTTTTCTAGCCCAAAGTTCCAAAGTACTTCCACAGTCCTCCCCAAAATGACATAATCATGTTTGTCACAGAAATACCCCACTATCCGGGTCCAAATTTGTCTTAGTGTTTCTGTTGCTGGCATGAAACACCATAACTGAAGTAAATCAGAGAGGTAAGGGTTTATTTGACTTATACTTCCACATCACAGTCCATCACTGAAGGAAGTCAGACAAAATCACAAAAAGAGCAGGAACCTGGAGGCAAGAGCTGATGTAGAGATTATGGATGGTGCTTACTGGCATGCTATCCTTGTGTAGACTGTCACAACTTTTGTGATGTTATATGTTTCTGATAGTGTCCAGAAAACGCTGCTCTCTTGTATTTATCCACTGATTATGACTCTTACAATCTTTTGAGAACTCTTCTACGATTATACCTGAGTCGCAGGAGGAGGAGTGTGATATAGATATCTCATTTAGGAGTAAGCGTTCCACAGTTTCCTATGTTCCACATATTGACAAGTAATGGGTCTTTGCATTAATTGTATTCTACTGCAGAACAAGGTATCTCTGGTGACGCTTTAGAGAGACACTAAATCATTAGGAGTTAATTTGATACTCTTGATAAAGACACCCGCAAGCCTCTTTGCTTGGCAGGATTCCAAAGAGGAGTCCATGGCATGTAGCTAGCCACTGCTTTCAACTCCAGAGTTGCTAGTAGAGCACCAGATCCCCAGCAAGTGTGGCGATCTTGAATTTTATTCCTTAGCAATGCAAGCAGCACTGTGTATTCTCTAGACTTAGAGAAAATGGTCTCTAGGTTACTGACCCATCACCACATCTCTTCTAGAGCCCAGGCAATCACGCACATGAACATTGGAAAGGAAAGAAAACAATGCAGGAATGTGATTCCACCATGTTATCATACTCTCTTCTCTCTCCCTCCCTTCTCTCTCTCTTGCTCTCTCTCTCTCTCTCTCTCTCTCTCTCTCTCTCTCTCTCTCTGTGTGTGTGTGTGTGTGTGTGTGTGTGTGTGTGAGAGAGAGAGAGAGAGAGAGAGAGAGAGAGAGAGAGAGAGAGAGAGAGCTGCTCTTTCTAAACGGAGAAAAGATTTCCACAAAGTCACGAAAAATCAAGAACACCCAAGGTTTGAGAACTGATTTTATTTGCATAGCTTTAGATGGAAGTAAGATATCTTTGGCAAGGCATAAAGGAAAGAAAAGACGTTTGAAAAAGTGTGATGGAGTCAGGTTCATGGCCAGTTGCAGCAAGTACAGCTGGTATCAAAGACTAGTCCTGCCGGACAGTGCTGCTGGTATGTGATTCCATTGTGGCATTGCCAGTAGGCATTTCTGTCATCAACCACAGGGTACAGGCCATCAGCTTTGCCAGCACAGAATCCGCTGCCTTCAGAGCTTCCTCCATTTTCTGGAGGAGAAGTCCCTGGCTCAGTAGGAACATCAGGGGCTGTGCATCCTAAAATATACAAATACAGAGAGGGGTGGTCCTGTTATGACTCTGAACTTCACACGTAAGTAAAGAAAACTAGATACATTATTGCCAGGAGGGGATGCAATTAGCTGAAGACTCACAACTGAAGAGACTCAAAGACAATTACATATCAGCAAAGAAGAAAAAGTGTGAATGCAGTCCCACTTTCTATTTTTCTTTCTTTTGCCATCTAAGGCATTCACGAATTAGCACAATCAGATGGTTTTAAGATCTGACTATTAATACCTCTGAGAAAAAAATCAAGAAACAGACAGAGAGATTGAGACATTCCCTGAGTGATGGATAATTAAGAGTACTGGCATGACTTCCTGTTATTTCATCCCAGGAACCTAAGCAAGACATTGAATAACACACACACACACACACACACACTAAAGAACACACAGAGAGATTTGTATGCTAAACACAATTTCTGCAGACTCTTATGAATCTTAAAGTCCTAAAAAAATTTCCAGATCTCCTGAGTAAATTGGGAGCAGGGGGACCATGGGAAAGGGCTGAGGGGGAAGGGAGAGGCAGGGAGGAGAGCAGAGAAAATGTATAGCTCAAGAAGATAAAATGAAAATAAAACTTGTTCCCACACACACCAAAGTTAGGTTGGTTTCACAAAATTTCATTAGAAGTTGAGAATTAGAAAGGGTCACCTGGGCAAGAACAATGGAATGGAATGGGAAGAGTATACTCCATGCAGAGGTAGTGAGCATGTCAAGCCTGCCTTTATATTGATAAAGGGACATTAGAAACTCACCATCTGCATACTCAGGTTGTCACTTACTTTTGTACACACCGAGGGCTTTACTCAGAGTAGAGGTCAGAGGGAATTTGCCCTGGTTGCAGAAAGAGCCAGTGAAGTCATCAAGATCAATGGCCCAGATCATGGCACCTCCAAAATTGTTCTGCTTAAGCCACTGAACCTGTTTAAAGATAGAAGTTATAAGGTTAATTTGATTTCTGGAGCCTTGGTGCCCTGATGTCAGAATATCCAAAGAGCTGACCTTACCTTGACATCGAAGCTCCTGATATTGTCATAGCCAATCCACTCGTTGCTTTTATACGCATAGGGCACTTCCTGAGGGGCATCCCAGGCTTCAGTGGCTCCATTTTTCAAGAAGGTGCAAATCTTTAAATATCAAGAGGTTTAAACAATTCGCATGTTAATTTCATGAAAGAGAGAAAGCATTGATTTCTTTTCTTTCTTATCTTCAGTTGGAGCTACCTCAATTTTATGATTCAGTTTTGTTTGTGGTAAAAAAACAAATGAGTTGTTTTCATCATTGCAGTGGTGGTAATAGGACCCAGAACATCTACATGCTCAGTACAGACTCTATCACTGAGCAACATCACATCACTAGTCTTCCGTTTTAAGTTAGACTCGGTTGAACTTAGGATCAAACAGCTTCAGCTTCCTAAATGTTCAGATTAAATGAATTACCAACAAAAACTGGAAATGTTTTTTACAAAAAGGTCATTGTACAAAAGAACTCAACAAACTAGACACTAAAACTCTAATTAACCCAATTAAAAAATGGGGTGCTGATCTGAACAGAGAATTCTCAACAGATGAACTTCGAATGGCCAAAAGACACTTAAGGTCATGTTCAACATCCTTAGTGATCAGGGAAATGCAAATCAAAACAACTATGAGAAACCATTTTACACCGGTCAGATTAGCTAAACTCAAAAACCACAATGATAGCCTGTGCTGGAGAGGATGTAGAGAGAGGGAAACTCTCATCCATTGTTGCTGGGAATGCAAACTTGTGCAGACATTGTGGAAATCAGTGTGGTGGTTTCTCAGGAAACTTGGAGTCAACCTCCCTCAAGACCCAGCAATTCCACTCTTGGGAATATACCCAAGAAAAGCCCTATCATGCCATAAAAGCATTGGTTCAACTATGTTCATAGCTGCACTATTTGTAATAGCCAGAACCTGGAAACAACCTAGGTGCCCCTCAATGGAAGAATGGTTAAAAAAGGTGTGGAACATATATACATTAGAGTTTTACACAGCGGCAAAAAACAATGACACCTTGAATTTTGCATGCAAATGGATGGACATAGAAAATGCTTTACTGAGTGAGGTAACCCAGACCCAAAAAGAGGAATATGGTATATTCACTCATAAGTGGATTCTAGCCATAATTAAAGGTCTTTGAGCAAATTATTCGTGATCCTAGAGAAGCTAAATCAGAAGGTGAACCTGAAGAAAATCATGTAGTTATCCTCCTGGAGATTGCAACTGGACAAGAGTCCCAGGCAACCACGGGTGCATGGGGAGTGGGGAGGCGGTTGTTAGAGCGGGAGAGGGTTAGAGTGAAGGGAGTAGGCGAGAAATGGGGAAAGTTCGGGGGATTGGGATGGGGGGGAGGGAAGAAGGATGGATATGGGATCAGGGAAGTATATATCTCAACTAAGGGAGTCATTTTAGGACTTACAAGAAACTTGATTATAAAGGGGATCCCAGGTCCAAGGAGAGATACCCAGATTGTTCTCTGAACAGAGGAGAGGGTGCCTGAACCGGCCTTGACCCATAACCATACTTATGAATATTGTGCATATCACCATAGATCCTTCATCTGGCATTGGACAGAGATTGAGACAGAGACCCACATTGGAACACTGGACTTAACTCCCTAGGTCCAAAAAAGAAGCAGAAGGAAAGAGAACGTGAGCAAAGAAGGCAAGATCAGAGGGAACCTTCACCCGTTAATGGATGGAAATTGAGACAAAGAACCACATTGGAGCACTGGACTGAGCCCCCAAGGTCTAAATGAGGAGCAGAAGGAAGAAAAACATGAACAAGAAAGGCAGGACCATGAGGAGTGCGTTCAACCACAGATACAAGGGGACTGATCTGATGAGATTTCACCAAGGCCAATTGGACTGGGACTGAACGAGCACGTGATCCAACCAGATTCTCTGAATGTGGCTGGCCCGGAGTCTTTCTGAAAAGCCATTGACAATGACACTGGGACTTGTTTCCTCTGCATATACTGGATTTTTGGGAGCCAGTCTGTTTGGATGCTCACCTTCCTGGACCTGGAGAGAGGGGGGAGGAACTTGAACTTCCCACAGGGCAGGAAACCCTGACTGCTCTTAGGGATGGAGAGGGAGGAGGACAGGGAGTGGGGGAATTGGGAGGGTGTTGGGAGGAGGGGCAGAAATGGAAAGTTTTATAAATTAATAAACTTTTATAAATAAAAATAGTCATCGTACAACATGTTACTACTTTGCTTTGTCCTATGCTACTAGAAATTATATACAGGGCTGTTGGCATTTTAGTAAATAGTTTAGCACTGAGCTATACTCGCAGATTGAGTTATTTAACAAGTTCTTATATTTTATTCATATTTTAGTACTAAAATATTGGAATCCATAGTAGAATGATAAATATGTTCATTTGATTTTTTTCTATGCTAATGTAACTGTTCTTAGTAGCATGATATTTTGCTTATAGGAACATTATTTGGAGTAAATATAGAAGTACGTTTTCCAAACATGCAGTAGCAGGAGTGAACTGCTTACTACAGGTAGGTAATAGCTAAAATGAACATTCAGATCCATGAGATCCTAAATTGATGGCTAAGTACAATGTAGGGTGTGAAATTCACAGAGCACTAGACAGTCAATCTACTGACCTCATAGTAGGCCAAGAGCCCAGCCCCCCCGGTATAGGGTCCAGCAGGGCCAGCACCAGAGGTAGGGGCACCAATTCCATTATTGGAGGGGTTGCGCAGGAGGAAATTGTGTCCATATTCTGGGAATCCAACAATGAGCTTCTCAGCTGGGGCTCCATTGTTCTTCCAGTAATTCATGGCATAATCCTGTAATGGAACTAGGTTAGGTATAGGACCCAATGAGTCACTGGTCAGTATTTAATTATATTAGTTAGCTTAGCCCCCTGTTTTAGTAGGAAAATTATATGATTTTTATAAACAATGAATTTATTTCTTGATATTTTCTTTTCAAAAACTTTTGATGAAGTTTAGCTCATGAGATATGTCCAGTAACTTAAGAAGATCTTTATCTAATTTGGACAGTTGCTGAATTTGTGTAAATTGCCGGTCTTATTTCCATATGGTTACGTTACCCCCAGTCTGAATTTCTGTGGGGTCTTACCACATTGAGGTAAGCATTGCTGCCAGTGTCTGTAGGATATTTGTAGAGGGGACTGTTCTCTCCTGTGTAGCCATCCCAGGAGCCATGGAAGTCATATGTCATGACATGGATTTGATCTAGGTACCTGATAGAAAGTAAGATTTAAACTTATTTAAATGTTTCAGATAACTATTTATCATATCTATGCAGACAAATACACCTTTTCCAAAGCAAGTTCACAGACAAGGTCTTTGAGTGCAAGACATTTCTAGCATAACCACAGTGCTTTAATTGTTCCTGCAGAAGTTTAGAAGAAGTACATCACTCACTGGGAAAGTTCACGGATCTCATAGCCAGCCTCAATGGTAGAAACGCCAGCAGCTACGGCCGCAGTAATTAACAACCTGGGCTTGTTGTTCTGCTTAGCCTCATTCTCAAAAGCTTCACGAATTTCCTATAGAACAAGGCAAGCATATTTGAAGTTGGTTTCAGAGATGTATATATAATGAATCCATATTTTCACAGCATCTTTCTTCTCTAAAGTGCTTTCATCTTTTTTGTCTGATTTAGTCTATCAATATCTTAATAATTTCAATAGTATAGATAACATTAATTTAAAAATTACAGCTATGCAATATGCATGACAGTTGGAAATTTTCTGAAGTTGCACTCTCATTGGTGCCCTTTATCTAGTTGTCAGCAGTATAGAAAGCTGCCTCCATACACCTTACAACACCAACATATCATTCAATAAAGTACTGCATTAGCACGTGGGGAAGGGGCAATGTCTAGGTGACAGGTTCAACTCAGTGCCAGCTGTTAGTTCACCTGCATGATGTATGACTCTCATGTACTTGGAACACTGAGTTGAGCTCTGATGATGGCCTTATTTGTATCACCAGATGGCATTTCAGGGATACATATGAACATTGTTGTATAGGTTGTAGTTTTAAAAAAAATGAAATATTTTACTAGAAGAACCTGGAAACAACCTAGGTGCCCCTCAATAGAAGAATGATTAAAAAAGGTGTGGAACATATATACATTAGAGTTTTACTCAGCGGTAAAGAACAATGACATCTTGAATTTTGCATGCAAATGGATGGAAATAGAAAACGCTTTACTGAGTGAGGTAACCCAGACCCAAAAAGAGGAATATGGTATGCACTCACTCATAAGTGGATTCTAGCCATAGTTAAAGGTCTTTGGGTCTATAATTTGTGATCCTAGAGAAGCTAGATGGGAAGGTGAACCTGAAGAAAATGTATATAGTTATCCTCCTGGATAATAGAACTAGGCAAGATTGCCAGGCAAACTCGGGTGCATGGGGGTGGGGGGAGTGGAAGTAAGGGAAGATGGTTAGGGAGAGGGGAGAGAGTGAGAATTGGGGATGGCTTGGGGGAACGGTAGGGGGGAAGGAGGAAGGATGGTTATGGGAGCAGGGACGTTTATAGCGCAACTAAGAGAGCCATTCTAGGGTTTGCAAGAGACTTGATTCTTGAGGGGTTCCCAGTAAAAATTAAATAAAACAAATAAATAAATAAAAAGAAAAAGAAAAAAAGAAAAAGAAGAAGAATATAAGCAGATTGTTATATCTGTCTTCAAATGGTAAACACAGATATTGTAATATCTGTGGTTTAATTCTATGTCATTTCATTGAACAGAACTGTAGTGAATGATGTTATAACTTACAGTAGTCATGTTTCAACTAAAAGAGGTGCCATTTCTGATCATTGGAGCTATTGAACAAAGACTAAAGTGAACCTGTGAAAATATCTCAATAGTTGAAGGCAGGCAGAAGGACCTGGGTTCAAGAGCATAATTCCCACAGAACACACATAAAATGTTAAGCAAAACAAAGTGGTGCAGTCTTATTAATCGTGGTGTTGACAAAACGGAGGCAGAAAGATCCTAGGGTTCACTGGCCAACTGGCCTGTACCACTCATTATTTTTAGGATCATGAGAAACTGACTCAAAAACCTAGGTGGACAATGTCTGTGGAATGACACCCCACATACATGTATGCAATATATACATACACACATAAAATGTTCATGTTCACATGTGAACAAGCACATGTGACAACTTCAGTTGCCAGTCACACGTTCTACCTCTTTGAGGCAGTTCATTTTGTTCTTTGCTACTGTGCTTACCAGACTACCTTATCCACATGATTTCAGGGATGCTCCTGTCTCTACCTCCCATCTCTATAGGAATGTGAATTGCTGCATTTGGCCTAATGTGGGCTCTAGAAACTTGAACTCAGGTTCTCACGCTTTGAACAAAAAACATTACCTATCAAAGCATCTCACTAGTCCAAAATTGAAGTTACTATGAAGCCAGTTGATGATCTGATTGTAAACAGATGTTATCCTATCCCAACTGATTAATACAAAATAACCAAGCCAAACAATTAATATTATTCAAAATGCTCAGACAATAGCTCAGGCTTGTTGCTAACTAATTGTTACTCTTAAATTAATCAATAACTCTTATCTTCATTTAGCCATGTGGCTTGGTAACATTTTCTCAGTCCAACATTCTCATCTTGCTTATCTCTGGCAGCTCTCTGTGCCTGGCCTTCCTCTTTCCAAAATTCTACTAGTCTGACTCTCACATTCAATATCTTCCTGCCCAGCTAGCTATCAGCCAACCAACTTTTGATTAGCAAATGAGAGTAATAGTGTAGAAAGTGATTGTTTGGCAGCAGCTGACACATGAATTGATAAAGAAAATAATTTACATTATTATCTGAAACCCACATTGTGGTGAGGTCACTGAAAGGTCATAAAATGTTCAGCTTAATTTCACAAGCTTGGTTCATAAATTTCAAAAGAAAAAAGCCCTGTCTCCAGCAAAACTGCTAACTAGAAGTGCCAAACAAAACCACAATGCTAATTCACCCTAGTCTGCCTTCTATGAAACTGTGATCAACCAAGACTACCTTAACTTTTGTGTCCCTCAATTTTACAGACTTGATTTTCCTGGAATAGGTTGTATGACAGGAAAGAGTGTGTTTAGTAGGTGCGTAGTCTGGACTTCAATTATTTACATGGTGGGAACTACACACCCAGAAGGCGCATGCTAAGATATTCACTCTTGAACATCAAATACTTCCCCAAAACAGAAACAACTCCAACATGCAACCTACTTTGCTATACTGTTTTTAAACCTCTAATCACTGCTTCCACCCCCATTGTGCTAAAAATAAAGAGCAGGTTTTCTTATTGCTGTGGTGTAAAGGGTCAATTTATTAACTACCAATTTCTTTCCCAATTTGACAAACATAATAACTATTGCTTTACCATTTCATTTATTTTCCTTAGCAATTATATACACTTGCTGATGAGCTCAGTAGTGTTTTTAATGTGATTTCTAGATTAGTATTTATTCAATTATTTCTGGTTATTCCTCACCTTCGCCAGGATGGTGAAGAGATGCTTGTCCCCAGAAGGGCTCCCACGAGAGCCTGGGTATTCCCAGTCCAGATCCAGCCCATCAAACCCATACTGGCGCAGGAATTTGATTACTGAAGTGATGAAGGTTTTGCGGTTCTGGGAAGTGGAGACCATGGTAGTGAAGCTGAGACAAACCAAAATAAGGCAGAATAAGATCTTGACATTTTTTTACACACAAGAATAAAAACAGTTTGCAGTTCAATTTCTTCCTTGCTGTCCTTACCCAGGACCTGATTGAGAATTAAAGTACATTCCAGGGTTCTCTCCTTGCAATTATTACTCTTGCTAGTCACAGTATCTCAGAATCCACATTATTCTGTCATTCATCCCCACTCCCAAGTTAGATGTTTTTATTTTTATTTTTTTTGCAAATTGCCTTGTTGTTTTTCATGCCTAATTAACTTAGTTCATAGACAATTCTGTATCTTCAAATATGCTCCAAGTTCATGTGTATTCAAGTAAGTCTTGTTGGTATACCTGGTCTTTTTTTCCATTCTCAGGAAGACAGACAACAGATATATACAGCCTTCATCAGTCCTTGTGCCCTTTATATACTTTATGAAGTGGTTTCCTTAGAAGCAAGCAACTAAAACTCAGAGGATGGAATCCCAAAGCATCCAACAAAATTTATCCCTAGGAAAGTCACAATAGACATTCGAAAATTTTCTAATAAGGATTATAACTTTTTATGGTCCTTTATTAAGTTAGACCTTAATTTAATGAAGGTCCTTAATATCCATCTACAGTTTTGAAATCTAAAAGGACAAGGATCATGCTTGAACTACATCACTTTTAATGAACAATTGTTTATCTAAAGAGAACTTACGGGCCAGATCCAAAGTTCCAGCCTCCAATGGCCAAGAGGGTTTTCAAATTGCTATTCCTTTAAAGCAAAAAAAAAAAAATAGAAAAAATGTTTAAATTCATGGGTCCTGCCATTTAAAACAGCATTACTGTTTATAGTATTGTGTCTGCTGAAACTATGCAGAGTAGGGCTGGTGTCATACTGTCTGCTGAAGATTCATTTGAAGTATTTTCTTCCACTACTTAAACTTTATTATCACCATAAAAGATGTCAGAGCCACTCAGAGAAATCAGATCTATACAACTCTTCAGTCTTATTGTCTTGTACTAACAGTATTTGTACTACATATAACTTAAAAGCATAATTACCTCCTTGCTGTTTCATCAGATAAAGTATTGAATAATTCTAAAGTGTAATTACCTTAGCACACAATATAATAACTAATATAAGTTAATTGACTTGACTTTACAAACATGGATGGGAAGAGTGGTGATAAAATGACTATATCATAAGAATTAAGTGCAAGGGTAGTGAGAGAACGTGAAAACTCTAGCCTTATTTTCCTTTCCCCTAAGATTCTGATAATATTACTTTAGGGCAATGGTTCTCAACCTTCCTAATGTTGTGACCCTTTAATACAGTTCCTCATGTTGGGGTGACACCCAAACATAAACTATTTCATTGCTACTTCATAGCTGTAGTATTGGTATTATAAACTATAATGAAAATAGCTGATATTTCAAATTGCCTGAAGAATGCTCCTCCATTAGTGGTGGGAATGCAAACTTGTCCAACCACTTTGGGAAACAATATGGCAATTTCTCAGAAAATAAGGAAATAATCTAGCTCAAGACCCAGCAATACTGTTGTTGGGTATATACCCAAAGGATGCTCAAGCATACCTCAAGAACATGTGATCAACTGTCTTTAAAGCAGCACTTTCATAATA